GATAGAGGAACTCATTTTCAAAATGAAATAGTAGATGGATTACTCAAACAATTTGAGATAAGACATTTATTATCCACGCCATATCATTCTCAAACCAATGGATTGGTTGATGATTTAACAGAACTTTATATAAGTTACTTTCAAAGTTAACTGAAGGCAAAGAAGATTGGAACCAACATATTTTGTCAATACTTTTTGCTTATAGAATATCAAAACAATCTTTTACAAAAATGATATCATTTTATTTACTTTATAGATGAAAATCTCAAATGCCCACAACAAACATGGAAGAAATATTGCAACTAACAATTCTTGACTGATTATATACTTTATTAGAAGAATTTCCACAACAACAAGAACAAGCAAAAAAAAATATTCACAAGGAACAACAGAGACAAAAATGAAAGTTTGATCAAAAAGTAACAAAGTATAAAAAGTTTAAAATCGGAGATAAAGTATTAATGTATGATGTTGCCAGAGACAAACATTTTATAGGAAAACTAAAACCAAAATGAAAAAAATCCTTTTATATCCATGATGTCTTTAAGCTTAGAATAATAAAAGAAAAAGTTCTTGCTACCCTATCAATCTCTTTCTCTTGAAATTATATTTTGACTGATCAGTATAGAAACCTAGCATACATATATAGGAAAAAGTATTCTTTAACTACTAAAGAATTCAGTATCCAGGTTATGCAATGTGGATGCAGATGCTTAAGTAATCCAGTCCTCCACTTGTACCAAACTTAGCATAAATATCACTGAACCCTTGAATGAAAAGAAAGACCTAAAGAAATCAGAAAAACAAGTGAAAGATATAGTATAATGAAAGTGGCCCACAGAGTGCTTCTGTCTATTACAGCCAGCCTATACATATTGCTGAAATTCGTAGATTCTTGACACAATTGATGCAATTATTTGATGCAATTAATTGAGTCACTATTAAAACATATAAATAATTGAGTCATGACACAATTATTTTTGAGAATTTTGGAAATTGAGTCAACAGCAAAATAATTTACACCACATGTATAAGCCAGCCCATAAAGCATACTCAGCGACTACTGCATCTTTCACAATAAATTCACAAACTTTAAAAAAGAAAATACAAGAAAAACAAAATAAAAAGCAAACCTCTAGTTAAACAAGAAAGAAAAAAAAGACCTGTCAAAGGAAGCAGATGCAGAATTTTTCAACAGGCAAAGAAGATCTTCCAGACAAGATACTTTATTTCTCAAGTTCAAGTTTTCCAACTTTAACTTCCTATTGAGATTGTGAAGAAAGTGTGTATCTCAAAGTATCTCCAATTCTTTTCTCAATCTTTTCATTTCTGATTCCAAAGCCCTAAACTTTTCTCCTTGACAAACTTGACGCTCCAAGGCCCTAACCTTTTCTTGAAACAAAACAATTGTCTTCCAAAATAGATCTCTGAGACCAGAGTAAGTTAGGCAAGTATTTCTTGACAAGCAATTTTCTCTTGACATTTTGAAAAAAATTTTAAGTTGATGATTACTTGCCAAATAATTTTCAAAAAGATCTTAAGTACACAACATGGTAAAATCTCAAAAATACTCACAAAAATCTATAAAAAGAACAGCTGCCCCAAATAACATGTTCCTTTTTCAAATTTGAATACTTCCAACATACAATTAATAATCTCATAGTTGCTTATATTATTTTGATTAAAGATCTTCTGTAAAACACTTCTGAAGATGTAGATGTTGCACTAGCCTCTTATGATCTTCTGTAGATTACTGAAATACAGCTTTTGAATACTTATTAAAAGTTATAGAGGATATCATGAAGAAGAAACAGAATCATAACTATTGTGTATGCTTACTATCTTGGAAAATTATTGAAAATAACTCCCAGCTGAACACAAAGATTTTACTTAAATTTATAGATCACCAGATATTATTCTTTAGCTTCCACATGTATAAATTACCTTTTTAGCAAAGTTGGAATCCATCAAATTTATAGGATCCAATCCACTATTCTTTGTCTGATTAGACAATTGTTACACTCTAATTTTATTATCCTGACATAAGATTAAATTTATAGAATTTATAGATTAGTGAAAGAGAATTGTTACACTTGATTTTTACCCAAGATCTTCACTACCCTTGTCTGATTTTTACTAGTATTGACTCTTGAAATGTTAGTTATTCTAAAATAGTCTTGTATTACAAATCTGTTACTGCATCTTTGGCATCTATTGTATCTATTGCACCTTTACCATTTTTAGAACATTTTTATTTTATTTTATCTTTACTTTCTATATTATCTTTGCCAAAGTATTTATTTATATAAATGCTATTGCAATTGAATATTCTGATAAAAATAGTATTTATATCTTAGTTTATATTTTTACTATAGCATATATTTATCCTATACAAAAATATTATAACTTAAACATATATATAAAGACTTTAATTTCACCTAGAAATTGGTAGACTTGAACTTATACTTTTATCAAATAAATATCTTGATCTTTACAAACAAATTACTATTGCCTCTTTTGCCTAATCTCATATATTTCAAAATTGTATTAATTTGTATGCTTTTAGGAACTTTAGCATACCACATTGGTCCTATTCATCTAAAGAGCCTCTCTGCTACTAGTTTTTTGTCTTTATCTTTCTTCTGAGGTAGAATTGATATATGATACTATCTAAAATATAATATAGAAAAAAAAATAAAAAGAATAGTTACAAAGAAGAAAAAATATCAAAAGAAGTTTTTGTCACATTAGTACAAGAGAAATGAAAGAATATTTCAGAAAAAGTAATTCTTTTAAATATTCAAAGCATGACTAATTGAATTCAAGCTTGTATAGATACAAACAAAGGTTATACTAAATATTAAAAAATTTTTTTTAAATGTATTATCCTTAAAATATATTTAATTAAAAAAAAACTATTTATTATCAGCACTATAACAAGATAAATATAAATATAAATATTATATATATTATTAATTAAATTTGTAGACTTATAAGTCTATAGTATAATAATAATACTTCATAGGTTATCAAAAAAAGATTTAAGATTCAAACCCATCTGGTTATAAAAATTTATCACCTTTATAATTGGTTGATTAGCTTCCAATTCATGTAATATTCAATCAGCTAAAAATTAATTTTTAAATTTAATTAGATTGCACAAAAATGGGACCTCTGGTCTTTCTAATAATTGCAAACTGAAAACAGGTCGAAGTAAGGAAAATTGTATGAGAAAAGATTTCTGGTCTAACTCTAATAATAAGTTTATAAACTCTAACTCAAACTAATGATGACAGACTCCATTATATAATATAAAGAGGCCAATTTTAAGCTGATCTATTTTAATTTGGAGCTTAAAGATTTATTTCAAGAGTAGTATTCTTCTGAACTTAAACAAACCAAAAAGGTAAAGGTTATTTACTACAGATAGTAACAATTTAAGTAAAAATCGTCAAAATTAAATGAGTCTGATAAGGATTATCAAAATTAAATTGGAATTCAAGCAAGGACACCAGTTCTACAGGTGGTGAAAATGGTAATGCTATATTATATTAGTAACATATTTTAAGAATTTAGTAATAACAGTAATTGAAATACTGGAGTTAGTTTCTATAATAATATTTTATAACAATACTGCTTCTTGCAATAATGAACTTAGTAGGTTTAGATGAGTTTAAACTAATGATAGGGTTTTTTCTCCTGCAAAAAGTCCTACTCGGCATGTAGATATACAGTATCTTCAAGTGTTTAAATGAATGCATAGTTGAATAAATAGTAATTAATGTAGCTAGTCTGATAGTAATATAAGTGCTAGGCAATGTTAATCTACAAATTAGTTGTAGAGACAAAAGGGTATCCAATGTATCAACCAATTTCTGGTTAATTTGTAGAGACACTTGGTGTTTATCTGAATATATAAATGTATCAATAAAGGTATACACCATGCATATATTTCACTATAAAAAAAATTAAATTAAATTTGTTTTTTTTGTCTTGCAATAGATATAAGATATAATACAATATAAACCAGATAAATTATAGACTTAATTTGTTTAGTATTATTTATCAATATTTATAATTTTTTTTTTACAATAATAAAACCAATTTATTTCATTAGAATTTCTTATGGTTCCGAAAATTGGAATCGAATAGAATCGAACAGAATCACATGAGGTTCAGAACACTATTAAAAATGATAGTGGGGTATACCCCACCTATTAAATTTAATATAAACTTGAGAATCGAATACAGAATCGAAGAGAATCGTTAGGATCCTTAGAATTTCTTTACGATCACGTGACAGAATACTTACGCTGTTATTCTATCTTTTAAAGTCTTTATTCGAAATTTTCTAGTTCACATATTTAGATCATTATTATTTCGAGTCATATAACTCAAATACAAGCTTACGCGCAAGTTAATAAGTTATAATCGATCTGGAATCATAGCTAAGGTGACTCCTGAATTAGGTTGAAAATTTTAAATGGATTGCAATTCGATTGCGGCTTAGTGTTGCAAACTAAAGATGGGAACCGTAATTAGCCGCAATTGATCTCAACCAATTTTACTAAGCCGCCTTCTTTAGTGACAAATCAATTGCGGTCAACTGTGAATTCATATTTAATCTTGACTCTGACCGTTTATTTCTGAGACCAGCGCCAGACAAGATTAAACTTAACTAAACCAATAATATGTCTAATTCGAAGCAAACTTCTTTCTTTCCACATTTTTGCAAAAACAACGCAAATGTACTGTTTTATTTATCTTTTTCTCTTATGCTTCTCAATTTCTCCGATCTCCATCTTTGCAGACTGTGACTTTAACAACACTAATGATTGTAAATGCAATAAACATGATTCCATCGGCGGCCTTAAATGTGGCTATGAATTGGATAATCGTAAATATTGATGTTTCAAAACAATTTCTGATGCCTTTTTTTATGACTTATAATTATCATTTTTATATTAGATTGCCTTTCTGACCCTTCTTCTATCTTTCAATGCAATTCTGGTAGTAGCCAGATTTGCCGATATGGTCCTTGTGAATATGGTTGTTGTGGAACCGGTGACGGTCAAAGTTATTGCTGTAAAGATAGTGCATGCTCTGGATGCCCTCCTGGACATTGGTACAAGAGAAGGGAAAACATCACAATGGAACCACTTCCAACATCATCTGATTCGTCTATTCCTACAATCGCTTCATATTGTGACAATCCTGTGCCAAACACTTGTAATTTTTATATGAACTGTTTGGAAGAGAAATTTCATTGTGGACCTAAGGGGTATCCAATCAATTATGGAAAGAAGAATTGCGAAAAATTTATCACTTCCATAAATAAGTTCAGTCCCGCCGGAAAAAAATGGTAAATATTTATTGTGTCATAAAAAATGACAACACGTGTTTGCCAAGATATCAATGCTGTTATCGTGCATTTTTTGATCATGCATTGGTTCTTTCTTTTTATAGGGTGACCAATGTAATGCTTTGTCTTCAAAGGGCATTGGTCTCAAGTTACGATAACAACAAGACTACCTGCACAGACATATATAATACGGCATTTGATTCTCATGCTCCATGCTATATAACTTCTGGCATATGCATTCTTCCGCCAACAGATTGGGAAGTTTTATTTGAAACTATCGGCTTCAAGACCTTATTTGGAAACTTGAAAATCATCATAGTTAGTATTATTATTACATTAATAATAATTATGCATTTGAAGTTTCTTTGCTAATGAGGGATTATGCGTCATATAGCAAGCATTGAAAACTGCAGGTGAATGCGCTACTTTCTACGTTTGGTTCCTCGCGGAAGTATGTAAATCGCTTTGCGAAATATAACAATATTAGTGTGTAGCATAATAGGAATTCATGACATCTTGGATGTTTGGAAATTCATAAATTTAACTCCGTTTTTTATTTATAAAAAAGTACTGATTTTCATATCTAAAGAAATCCTCAACTTGTTTCTCCTGACACATGTTTACTCCAATGAGAACGATTTCAATCTCGAACTTTTTCACAAGTTTATATTTGTTATCTCCTTGCCATCTAGATTTCTTGAAGTTGAAAACTATTGGATAAACGATATCCAAACAATATTTACACACTTTTTCTATTCATATGCAGTGAAGTATGCAGTAATAAATACTATTATGAACGAACAATAATCGTACATTCATTTTAGGAAATATCCTAATTATAAAGTTTATCTCGTAAAGTAGTGCCGGCAATATCCAAACTTTGATATAAAACGTTTTGTCTTTTGAAAAATTACATACTTGTTTTTGCAGTATGCAATAAACTGTAACCTAAAACCAATGAATATTCTAACAAATTAATTAAATAATAGATCATATTAAAAAAGAATATATTTATTTTTTAATGACAGTATTTTATTTACATACTGTATTGCATTTTTTTTTTGTTAACCCTCATTTGGGTTGGAGTCGTTTATGCTGTATACTGTATTACAGTTAATAAAATAAAAATAAAATAAATATAATATAATATGATAAAAAAAAAGTAAAAAATTTTTTAATCGTTTTTTTAAATACAAAACCAAGGATATTGATTAAAACTCAAAAAAACAAACACTTTCAAGAAATTTGATGTATTTTTGATAATAAATTATACAGTATATACTTTTTAATAAAACACTTATAAAAATTTATTATTTTATGTGTATTTTTATAATTATGAGAAATATATTCAAAAAGTTTACAATGAATATATACAGTACATGTATATTAAAATTGTGATAAAAAAAATTTTTTTTAAATAACTTTTTTAATATAATGTATATATTTTTTTTTTCTTTAAAAAAACAACCAATTAATTGTTTAAAAAATTTTTTTATTTTAATTTAATCTCGAATTTTTTAAGCATTGAAAAAACCAAAATCAAATATTTTTCTTTTCCTATATCTCTCATATACTGTATATAATAACATAATCAGTTATTAAAAAAAAAAAAAATAATAATCAAATAATTTAATGAAATTATTAAATAAAATGACAAGTATAAAAATTGTTATTTACTCATTTGTAATTTATTTTATTAAAGAATGAAATGATTGTAAAGTTCAAATCTTGGTGTGTTTTCTTTTTCATAGTAAATTATAGATAGATATATACTGTATATGTTATATATCTTTAAAAATTTATTAAATTAGTTGAAATAGAATTTCAAAAAAAATAATAATTAAAACAAAAAAAAAAAAAAGAAATATATAGTATATACGTATATATGTATATACTATATGTATATAATATTTAATCAATATTTGTAGATAACCAAATTAGCCAAATTGGCAATGATTTGAATAAATAGTTACATCCGTTATTGGATATCCAACCTGTAAAAATAGTTTAATGGCACGAGAATAGTGTCAGACTTGTACTTTGCATCCTTCGTCAAAAATCAATAGATTGAACAGAGCTCTATGACTGTAGGTCATTGGAAAAAAGAGTAAAATAAAATAAAAATCTTAATATTTTTAGCAAAAATAGTTATAAATTCGAAATATGATGAAACCAATTAATAATACCGTATTTTTCATATAATGATGAATGAATTTTCTTATACTTTATTGATTAATTCATACTTAAACGTATGTATATTGAATCGTAAAACAGTACTTATTGCAGAATTCCGAAATCATCGAATATTGAGAGATTATTATTATAAGAAAAAAAGAGGACAAATGATTTTGTCTTTGATTTTGTGAAAATTAAGTTAATTTCTAGATAAACAAGTATTTCTTCGGCATGCAAAAGAAAAAATAATGCTACAATACAAAAATGCTACAAGTGGGTTTTTTTTTTGAAGGAAAGAAAAAGAAGAAAATTACATACAATGAATAAACTAATCACCATCCCGGAAGCATGCAAAAATTGAAAATGAAAAATAAAGATGAAAATAACAAGAAAATCTATCTGATACTAAATAGAAATTTGATGATAGTTGAATCCAAATATTATCTTCATACTATACACTGGATTTCAGACTACATTATCTATGAGTACTCTATATTTCCTCGAACTAATAAGAAATTAATCGGGAGGTTCGATTGCGCGAACATTGGCCGAACCAACACTCACAATACCTCCACTATTATTTTTATGATGCCCGATTATTGCCCGCGAATTTTTTGTATGTGGAAATTTTTTGATTCTAACCTCATCGTTCAATGTGAATGCTATTCGACAGTAAACAGCAAAAAGAGCGAACGAATAATTATAAACGATTTAAATTAATCAGAGATATTACTTCCCAATAAGAATGCAATTTTCAAAGAAAGGAGACTTACATTCACTGGAATCATCGAAATGAGCAAACTCTGTATCAGAAATTCCGAAAGAGCTTCTATTTGTGATCTTTGCATTAATGGTATTATCATTACTATCATTACTATTGTTATTTGAACTTATAGCAGTGGGTGATGACTGAATGGAATGGACAGCATTGACCGATCCATTGTTTTTATTCGTCGTCCCATTCACGATTTTATTACTATTGGCAGTACTGATAATTTCATTATTGTTGAATATACCATTCACTGTGTCATTTTGTTGGGCAGAGTTACCAATGCCTGTTGGGATAGCATTTGAGAGATGAATTGGTGGGGATGGTTTATGCTCAACAATGTCGGATAACCCGTGATTAATAAGACTACCATTAAAAGAATAGGAGGAGGGATTTGATGGATTCTGTTGGGACGTAGCTACATTGTTGACATGATTACTATTAGAACTATTAGATTGCATTCGTTTTGGGAAAAAGCGTCTTTTCGTTAACGTGGGTGCCTGTGGTATTTCCGTTATGGAGTAAGGTGTGTTCCCTGTCGTTGATACAGATTGAGGTGGATTACTCAATGACATTTGCATAGTTACTCCTCCTAACGAAGTTGGCGTTAGAGGCGGTAATGGAGGAGAGATCGACGAACTCTTTGAAGATTCCTGCTGAGTAGAGTCTAATATCGCAGAAGGTTCTGACGTGATCGTCCCCGTAAAGCGTTCCGAATTACTCTCTTTTGCTGCCTGCGAAGATGTAGATGCTTGACCGTTTTTATAACGAAAAAAGCCACCACGTTTTGGTGCCATCTTTCTAGTCACCGAACCACCGTGTGTAGTATCACTCAAGCTACCACTGTGCATGTCATCCAGTGACCCAGGTTTTACCATATGAGCGTTGGATGCGTTGCTATTATTTTTCCTACTATTGTTACTAGATAAGTTACTAGTGTTATTGGTGGAGTGTGCGCTATTTGCACGATGACGAAATAGAGAACCAGCCCATTGTTTTGCCCAACCTATTCGTTGTCTAACGGCTCTATTGTAAATTGTCAGTTGCGATGTTAGTATCATATTGACATCACTTTCCCGATGACATAGCCATGTGTAAATACCTCTTCGCCATCGTCACATTAACTCTTCCAGAATTTTTCATTAGGAACAACATTGCGCAATTGCTGAAAAACAGTAAAACCAGGAATAGATCGAAAGAGCACATTCGTATTATAAACAAATAGAGAGTAAACATCATTAACACTTTTCGGCGTTGCTTAACAAACGAAATTTCCCGCAACACTAAATAACGATGATTGGTTATAATAGTCGAACGATGATATGTGAAAAAATATTGGGAGCTTTATCAAATGCTGACCTGCAAAAGAAGCTTTCTTTGTGGCTTTGGGATCAATTTCTGGATAAGTCAACAATGCTATGAACTGGAATGGTATGTCCAATATTGTCACGTTCTTATTGTTTGATGATTGATTAGTGGAGGTGGTTTGTTTTTCCGGAACAACCTTGACTCCTACGGAAGGACCTTCTAACCAACTCATCATCGAATACATTAAATTATTTCCCAAAGACCACCATTCATCCACTTGTGCACCTCCGTCAACTCCTTCAGGATCATTATTCGCATCGACTGCAACTTCGGCATCGGAGGTATCAGAATTTGAATCTGGATAGTCCGATTGATTTGCAGTGAAATCTAGCTGATCTGGTGATTGGATAGCCAGATCCCGGTCCGTCTCCTTATTTTTCTCTTTCTCATCGACCATGGCATTCTCAGATTTTGTTGAAGAGGAAGAAGAGTTGCTACTTCTTACCATGTTGACCTCCAACGAATAATTGTCGTGATCTTGATCATCAATCTCTCCCGATGAATTTCCGTCCTCTGGCGTTACAGATGAATCAGTTACATAACCATCACCATCTTCGTCAAACTAAATAAGGTACACATGTTATGATTTCAATCATCACATTTGAATTGTTTAAATAAAGGGAAATATAGAAGGGAATGAAAAAAAGACCTCTTTTGAACACCGATCCCTTAGTTGTTTGAGTATCTTCTTAGACGTCTTTTTACCTTCGACTTCGGATAAAATATCAGGTAGCACATCATCAAATAACTCCAATATTTGATTTAAATCATCGTGTTCAGCAACTACATATAGTTATATAAATGTTCAGAACCAAACGTGTGATAATAAAAGAGAAAGGTCATTAATTATAACACGAACATAAGGAAATATACCTTTGTAATGAGGAAAACCTTTTGTAATGATCCTAAACTCTGGGAATTGCCTTCGTTTCGAATTATTACTGTTTTGTTGTTGTAATATGAAATAAGAGGATTCTTTTATGGATTTCCAACTAGACCTTAGACCACTGATTAAACTAGGCCTAACAAACATTATGACCGAATACAGTGACTAAGTTCGGACAGATGAATGAACAGTCCGGAGGGTCACAAGCTTCTTTTGTCGGCAGAGGCACGATTTGGGTGTAATGTTAGGTGAATGCGTGAAAGCGTGAGATAGGTAGACACGGAGTTCGTGTATTATGGTAACGTGTAGATTTAAATTAAGATCGGGGGGTGAAAAAGGTTATTTATGACTTGTGAGTATGATATGACGTCGTCACTGGTTGGTTGAACTGACTGTTCTGGGTATATAAATAGTTATTATATTAATGCCGTGGAATTAGAGGATAGAAGAGCAGAAGAGCAAGGTTCTCCTTCTGTAATGCTCAATCAACGACAACACAACCGTCATTGACGTTCTCCGGAACTCACAAGAATAAACAAAACTTTCGGTACATAAATAAATCTAACTACCAAAGGAAAAAGACACGAGAAGCGTAAGAAGAAACAAGTCAAAGGATAGCAAAGTACGCGAAGAAATAGGAAGGTGTTAAAAAAAAAAAATTCCAATAAATAATAGTCGGTGACACTGACGAGCAATACGTAATGTATGTGCTGTTTTAGTTGAGCAAATGAAATAATGCTATCTATAGTAGTTTATAGTGGGTGCCGGTTACTTATATACTCTTATTATTAGGAAAATAATTTTGCCTGCAACCGGAGAATGTGTCTGAACAAAGTTTTATGTATCGTCAAACGAAAAGCGTAGCAGCTCACCTTTTTTGGAAAAACTTCTTCCCCGTTAAAATCCTATGTAGTGTACAATGTAATCAGTGCTATCCGATATTTTTTAATAGAATAGAATACTATATATGCTATTTATTATCATCCTTTATATACTTATTATTGTATGTAAGCACGTAGATCAAACATGCCGCTTCCCACCAATTACAAAAATTGTTTATGAAAGCGAAATCCAGAGAAACTGTGGCTTGTAAAGGACTTTCGATGTCATCCTCAAATATCAAAACAGGAATCAAACTTTCCTTTATGTTGGACGCACAGAAGAACTCACGTCTCAATGAGTTTTGATAGACAAACTTAAAAGTTCATTTTTCGTGCTTTTTTATTTTGTTTTGAATTTGATCGATTTCTATGTATGCTTGAATTGAATATTTCGCCTGCTTCTATGCATCAATAAGTAGAATTACGCATCTATGCACAAGTAATTGAAACTAAAATTAGTTTGTGTGCATGCTCTGCGTTCTTTACTTACTTAAACCAGTCATCAAGTTTTTATATAGTACAACATCAACGGCACACCCATGGAGCAATTGCAAATGATCGCGGTAACTTTTTTTTGGTCAGATTGTGTGATTCAACTATTTTTAATCCGATAAGAATTAAAAAAATTCATGAAACACCCGACTTTTTAAATTGAGTGAAATGATTCAATGGATTGACTCATTCCACCGAATTACCAAAATTGTCTTCCAATATGTGCGAAATGGTGAATAGGGTTAAGTTTGATAAATTGATTATTAAAAATTTAATAAACAAACCACTTCTCCGATTCTTTGACGAACCTCCTGACCTTTGTATCCCCAGATTTTATCAGCGATACATATGTTTGAGATTATCCGCTCAAAGAGTCCTTAGGTGCGTGTTGAAGCTGACGATTATATGAAGCGGAGATAACCGATAAAAAGATAACGGTTCACAGATATAGGAACATGTGTCCTTAATTATCATGTTGTGAGATCACAAAAAAAAACAATGCTTTGGAATTCCTCCACATCTGCAATAAAGGTATAATTAAATTGTTTGGCGAAATCAGGTTATTGGAAGGGCGTGTAAGTAAGCACGTTCCTAAAACGAGAAATTCATGCTTACGAATGAATGGGCTATTAATAATCCATGTTCTTTAAAGAATGTGTAATACAAACATCAAACACAATACGTAGTACACCAAAAACGACTAAGTCAATAAAGTCAATAAGATAATGAATGGTTAAAATTTCACATGACCAAAAATTGATGATATTTATTATGATACAAGTAAATAAATTTCCATTAACTTAAATAGAAATATTTTTAAGTAATAAAATTAAATAAATTTAACATTTTATTGTATAAAACTTTATTATTATATAATTTAATCATATTAAAAAATAAATTTTATGTATAATATAAGTAAAAGATATTAGATTAAAAATCTTTTTTGATATAGTTTTTATTATTAAAATAATTTAAGTTATAATAAATTTGATTGTTTTTATTTTATGCAGTTTAATAATCAAATTCTTAAAATTGATTTATATATAATAAAACTTGAAATAAAATTAATAAAACCAATTTTTATGTTTAATTCAAAAAGAATTTTTTTAAATAAGTTAATATAATATATATATATATATATATTCTGGTTTTATTAATAATTTATTAATAGTCAATTATAAAATAATAAATTAAAAATCCAATAATTAAAAAAAATTTTTTTATTATAACCTTTTTAATATATATATATATATATATATTACAAATTAAAATTAATTAAAAAATAAATAAAATTATTTATAATAAATAAAATTAATAAAATTATTTTAATATAAAATAGCTATTTTTTTTTTAAAAAAGATTTTTTCAAATCAAATTTTTATTAAATTTGAATAAAATATCTTTAATAATTTTTATCAAGAAAAAATAATTTATATTTTTTATTACAAGTAAGTCTCAATTAAGAATTTTTATGATTTAATTTAATTTAATTTTTAATTCTCAAATTTTTATTAAATTTAATATAGTTATAACTTATTATTATTTTTAATAATATTTTAAATCTCATATAAGTCTATATAAGTTTATTTAATTTCAATTTTTGATTATAATCTCAACTTAAATTTAAAAACTTTCAAAACAATTAATATAATAAAATAAAATCTTTGTTAAAAATTTATTTAAATTTAAAAGTCTTATTTATTTTTTAGTTACAGTATATAAGAAAAGACTTATGATAATTTAATAATTATTATAATTTAATTATTTAATTAAATTTTATTAAAAAATTAAAACAAAAATTAAAATAGTTTAAATTGATTTTTTAATATAATAATAATAAAATTATAAAAGACTTATTATTATATTTAATAAATGTTATTAAATTTAGTAGTTTTTTTTATTATATAAAATTATTTTTAAAAAATTTAAAAATTTTTTTAAAACTTTATATTTAATATAAATTTAATATTTTTATAAAATTCAATTAAATTTTAAGTTAAAATAATTATTAAATAATTATTTGTACCTAATAAAAAAATAATAATTATTATACTATTATTAATATAACTTTAATTTAACAAATTTATGTATTGAAATAATTTTAATAATTTTTATTATTTTTATTTTGTAATATAATTAAAAACAATTATTTTAAAAAAAAATTTTTTTAAATTAAATTTTATAAAAATTTTAATAATATATTTTAAAAACTTTATTAAGTAAATTTGTTTTTTATATTCTTAAATATATTAATATAGAT